CCTACCGAGATGTCATTTCAGGGTCATCACCGACAAGGTGCATATGCTATTTCATGGTGTGATAACGGTGGCACTTCTCAAATTCTGTCCTCATAAGCTATCCTGCATGCACACAGCTCAGCTTGACACTGTTGCTTTGTTCTCTGCTCTTGCTGGATGAAGACTTTAAAAAAAATGCATGTGCAATCTTCGCAAACTCACTTGGCAGGTTGGTAAAGACGCCTTCAGATGGAGAAGGGGGAAAAAAAAAAAAGATGCTAAGAAAGTGACCCATATAGGAAATCCCCAAGTGAGACAAGACTTAAAAGTGCAGATTTTGCCAAGCTTCTCACTTTCAGAGGACACAGTAGCGCAAATGCAGCATTAAGCCTGGACTGGGCTTTTAACACGAACGCAACGGAACGATTAAGGTGATCATGTGAAGAAGAAAGAAATGTGACGTGTCCTTGGCTTCTCCTCAGTCACATCAAACACAATCTAATCCAAGAACCTGCATGCAAATAAAAGGTCAAGAATTTTTGAAGATCAATATACAACTTACCACTGCTCCCGCATCTCGGCCAAGGACAAACCGAACCATTCTCTATTTGCAAAGGGAACACATTTTCCATTTTTTTTTTCAATCTGCAAACCCCACTGGAGGGCCAGCCCACACATTTGTTTAAATGCATTTTTTTTGCTTTACTTAGCAATTGTGCAGTCTCCTGAGGGGTGGGGTGAGTATCAAAGCACAGATAAAGCGTGCATCTTCTTCCTCTGCTGCATTCCAAGCAAAAATAATCTTGCTGGAAGTATCCAAGCCTTTTTGCTCAAGCAGCTGCAGAAATCCTTTCTCCGGCAATTTTCATCTTAACAGATTACAGTAATATGTTTTGCCAAAAGATTAAACAAAACCAGTGGTTTTCAGAAGCTGAAGATTATGATCTATTTGCTGATACTTGTATATGATCACCAGAAGCACCACTTTAAATTTCCTGACACGGGAAAGGGAGGAAATGCCAATTAAATTAGTTTTGTCGTCGAAACTAGCCTATTTATAAGCCTGTGTTAATTTTTTTTCCAATACCGAGGACAAGTTATCAACAGTAGCATCAATTATTGTAGTCCTATTGTAGTCCTGTGTCATAATGTATTAGTGCCAGTTTGCACAACGATAGATGACATTCATGCCTATTATGAATTTTCTTTCTTAAGTAATTTTCTGTGCTTGGTAAGCTATAGAGCATTGCAGAAAGGCAGAATGTTGGATTTGCAGAAACCTGAAACTCATCCCATTAAAGGCTCGGACTCCATTAAAGGAGGTAGGTAAATGAGCCTCTTTTGCAACCCAAGTCTTCCATCGATGAAGTAGCTGCCTTGAGACACACTTCCTTTGCTTTATGGTTACAGCTAGCTACAATTCTTTTGGTGACAATTCATGGGATAATTTGTTGTACACTTCTACTAGCTTTTTACAATAGTTCTGATTAAGGATTACGGACCGTGAGTGACATTTCTGTTTTTTTTAAAAAAGAGGCACACTAGCTTTAAGAGAAGTACAATTCAACATCCATACTGAATGGGTAGCAACTCTGCTTCTTTGAGCAATTAAAATACAGTCCTTACGTACAAGGACACCTTCAGAATGTCACACGTGCTTTCAGCCACATTGTTTGGAGATGAGCGATTTCCAGTGCAGAATCAAGAGGGTGCTTTATACACCAGCTGGGACATGTCACTAAGGACGAGGGGGGACACGATAGCCATGTTCCAATATCTCAGGGGCTGCCCCAAAGAAGAGGGAGTCAAGCTATTCTCCAAGGCGCCTGAAGGCAGGACGAGAAGCAACGGATGGAAACTAACCAAAGAGAGAAGCAACCTAGAACTAAGGAGAAACTTCCTGACAGTTAGAACAATTAACCAGTGCAACAACCTGCCTCCAGAAGCGGTGAATGCTCCAACACTGGGAGTCTTTAAGAAGAGACTGGACAGCCATTTGTCTGAAATGGTATAGGGTTTCCTGCCTGAGCAGGGGGTTGGACTAGATGACCTCCAAGGTCCCTTCCAACTTTATCATCATCATCATCATCATCATCAACCATACTGCCTTCCCTGCTCACAGCACTGAGCCTGCAAAGTTATGATCTGAACAGCCCCTTCCTTACCGAGGTTCATTCTACTTGGCCAGACAGATGGATCAGGCTGTCCTGATCTGAGTAAATCAGACAACTAAGCCAGCTGGACACACTTTTAAGCCAGAAGATCAGGCTTTATTGTATATAAGCCAGACACATCTCAGTTTGATTTTATTTTAAAACCAAAATAAATAAATCAGGCTGGGAGGTGACAGGGAGATCCAGGACGGAGCTGGCCCAGAACAGGCAAACCTCCTCCCTCACCAGTCTTAAGTTTTGGCAAAGGCTAGCCACACCGGCATTTTTATTTCCTTTCTCCTTTCGCAGAGCTAAAACAGCACACACTGCACCATCGCTTGCAGAAACCATACAGCCACAGCCTTGGAAAGCCTAGGTGTCTCAATGGTAGGAATTGCTTGGAATGTGCTGCTTGCGCTAGCAAAGCAACACAGATGCATAAAGACTTTATTCATTGGGCAGCTCACTCTCTCTGTGTGGCCGACAGCCCACACAAGGGGTGGCATGACAGAAGCTGCCCTTTTGGGCCATGCCCAGAATTTAGCCAGATGGAACCCTTATTGAACATATAGCACTGAAGGCAGCAACCAGGAAGTTTCTTAGGGCTGTGCATGGTCTGAAAATGATTCGGACGTGCTCTGGAACTGGCAAGAACACAGCTCTTCTCTGGGGTTCCTTAAACTCACCTATCTTTTTTTTTTTTTTCCTTCCAGGGGTCTTATGAAAGCTTAAAAAACGGGCATCCAACTCACTTGAGGATAATACTCCTCTTAAAGAAGCCGCATCTTTGTCTCAAGCTTGTATGTGGAAGCTTGAAAAAGACAGGAAGGGTTAATGAACAGCAGCAAGACACTGTCCTTGTGCACGTTCTGAAGCATTTCTTGCAAATGATTTTCAAGACACGCACAGTCTTGGTGTACGTGTGTCTTTCTGGAGGCATGGACCTCTGATGTGGCATAGAGTGTGCCATTTAGAAGCTCAGGAGATCAAAGCAGAACACAGAGTGAAGAAAGAAAGCAAAAGCAAAAAAGTCAAGCCCACTGAATGCAGGAGAGCATCTACCTTGAACACCTTTGGCTAAGAACGTCTGCTGCTGTCCTGGGTCAAAGCAGTGAGGTACACTTTACTGTAGGCAGGCAACAGAAGTACACCTGGAAGCCACTACCAGTTCTTGAATGGGTAAAAGGAGGTTAGCAGCAGCAGCTGTCCCTGCCACAAAGGACATGTGAGCTTGCATTGCCCAGTGATGGTTCTTGAGCTCTGGACTTCAGGTGGATGAGAGGGAACACTGGCACAAGAAAAGCCAATCTAAATTTTCCATTGTGTGCTTCGATTATGAAGTAGAAATGTTCACGTTTAGGTAGAATCTCTTCAGTGCTTTTAGAATGGCACTGCCTTAAGAATCTTGTTTTAGATAGAAAAGGATGTGCTGAAAAGCCAAGAAAACTCAGCGCCTGGGAAACCTCCAAAAAGACACAAGACGGGAACCAATCAAATTGAGGACATTCACAGAATGGATGTTGGGAACTACTTCCCAACTTTTTTGATTTAAGCCGTCAACTGTAACTGATTTCACCCATCAGAAATGACGTGGCAATGCCCAGTGGCATGAAGTGTACAGTTAAAAAGACAATATGAGTTGTTTCCCCAATCAGAAGGGCACACAATCTAACCTCTGCTTACAGTTCATGCCCCTAATATGTAAAGTATCTTAAGTATAAGTAGTTCAGCAAATAACGTGTGTGCATGTGTGTGTATTCATCTACGTATCCATATGCACAGAAAACCTTGTGCATGATAGAAACCATGGCTGAAGACTTTGTTTGTGACTATATGTCAGTGGCGTGACACAAGTTATGATCCAACTGTCTTCAAATTAAAGTATTACACAGGCCAAAAGTGGACTTTTCAGACTTTTTAAAATCTGTCACTCCCATATACACAAGTACTTCTTAAAATATGGCTAAGCCCCCTAGGTAAATGCTGTGGAAGAATTATATCTTCTAAATTAAATGAGTGTAAAACAAAGGTTACACACTTTTGCCTAAATTCTGCGGGGAAATGGGTGTTCTGAATATAGAGGGGGAAAAAAAAGATTTCTGCTCAAGAGATAGAACAGAATCTCTAATTAAGCAACTTTTACTGGTGTATCCAATTACAAAGCAAAGAGAGAGCTAAGCACCTACAGTTTCTTAACAGGGACGTGAGAACCCAATGAATTTTCAGAACTTTTAGGTGTGCTCTTGTCTAGATACAGAGTCAGAGCGAAAAAGCTGGGTGAGGCTGAAGGCCCATATAGTTATGGCCACGGTGGGCATATAAAAAAAAAGTGTGTTAGATGCCAATATTCATACAGGTCCTCCTCCAGGATGTGATTTGAATTAGTGAGAGTTACAATTTGGTTAAAAAAAGCATCTGATGCCTTGCAGATTATTCTGCTTCCTTCGTGAAAAGAAACAAGTGGAAGACAATGCTAATTGTTCAATAACAGCAGTAAAACAGTGTGAGCCCAGGATTTTCAGTGTCAGAAATGTGGGATATAGTTGAAAGGAGATACTGTCACCGAAAGCAAGGGCTATGCCAGATCACACGCACCTCGAGTACAACGGGGGATGAAAATCATAATTTGTCGCAAAGCAGTGCCAGCTCCAGATTAATTTTGGGATTGAAGTCAAGAATCAGGCATGAACTAGAAGCCACCATACCTTCCACCACAGAAGGCCAATATTAGTCCCTTCGAAGCTTTCCTCCTGGAGCAGTGGGGCAAGGTAAGCCCCAGGGGTTTGTGCAGGAGTGAACCCACACTGCTCCAGAAGATCTGAGCTGCAGCAAAACTCAGAAACCTTAACACAAATACCCAGACAGGGATTGTTGATGGGGCACTTCTTTTAACAGCAGGAAGAGGTTAATAACAGGCTCCTTAAGTTAGTTTTACAAGGTCTAGTAGTTAAGGACACAGAAAGGAAGTGATAGATAGAAACACCACAAACACAGGATGCTGGGACAGAACGAGGTCCAGGTGTCTCTAAGACAAGCCCTTGAAAGAGTCGAGGTTGAAGGCGGTGTCCAGCAAGCGTTGCAGTTCGGTCAAGTGATTCTTTTTGTTGCCTGTCGCCGGGGCAGCAGCTGGTTCTCGGCCAGCATACCTGGAGGGAGAAAAGCAGAAGCACAATTGCTTACTTGCAATTGCCGCTCGTGGCTCTTTATTTATTTATTTAGTATATGGCATATCATTAATGGACTAGCAATATAAATATAAATATATATATACCGTATATATTAACAGAGAAGAGCAACAAAGATGATTAGGGGACTGGAGACTAAAGCATATAAGGAACGGTTGCTGGAATTGGGTATGTCTAGTTTAACGAAGAGAAGGACGAGGGGGGACATGATAGCAGTCTTCCAGTATCTCAGGGGCTGCCCCAAAGAAGAGGGAGTCAAGCTATTCTCCAAGGCGCCTGAAGGCAGGACAAGAAGCAACGGATGGAAACTAATCAAGGAGAGAAGCAACCTAGAACTAAGGAGAAACTTCCTGACAGTTACAACAATTAACCAGTGGAACAACCTGCCTCCAGAAGTGGTGAATGCTCCAACACTGGAAGTTTTTAAGAAGAGACTGGACAGCCATTTGTCTGAAATGGTATAGGGTTACCTGCCTGAGCAGGGGGTTGGACTCGATGACCTCCAAGGTCCCTTCCAACTTTATCATTATTATTATTATTATTTAACCTAGATTAGTAAAACACAACAAAATCTAAATGTTAAAAAGATCTGTGTTCGAATACCCGTTTTTAGGCCATCTAACCACTGAACTGCAGTATCATTTATATATATATATATTTTTAAAAAATCAGATACTGGACTGGTATATGCCCTCAGGCTACAGACTGTCACGATGTGATCTACAGTTTGATGTGGGGACCCCCACAGTCAGTCACACTGACAGCGGGATGCCATGTCTCATTTATACCGAGAATCCTGGCAGACGCTGTGTGAGGTTCGAATTCAGGATTGTCCATTGCTGATGTGGTAGTTCAAAAAGTTTGGCGGCTTTTTGTGTGTGTGGGGGGGCTATTTGTCTTATGTCTGGGTGTTCAGCAACCCATTTGACTTTCTATTGGGAATTAATGTTAAACCGCGCTTAAATTGTTAAATTTGACTGGCACGTACAGGATTTGAGGGGCTGTTGGTACACCAAAAATAAAGGCTGGGCTACTGAGATCCTCTATGTCTGCTCCTTTTCCTCTTTTCCTAGAATAGACCCCCTCCTGTGCTCTCACTGGGATTGGACTGATTGTGCCAGAGCAACTGTATTAACCTGTCCCTCTATCAGAGCAGCCGAAGAAGCCCCTTACCACACTGGCTTTGCACGGTCAATGGTTGTGCGGAGTCTAGGCTTCACGTAATCATAATATCCTTGGTTTTTGTGCTCTTCTTGACACCAAACTAGGTCTGCATTGGGGTATTTGTGGAATTCCTTCAGCAGGAGGTCAAAAGGGAACGGCGACAGCTAGAAAGAAAAGGCCTCGGGTTTATTATGAGCGATTTTCAGCTTTATAAACAAATTGCAGTAGGAAAATTGAAAAAAAAAAGATCAGTCTGGTTCACAAGCCCCGTGGGAAAATGGAAAAAACAAGCATTTAATCCATAAGACATTTATACAGTTAAAAAAGGGAAAAAAAAGGGGGGGCTGAGTAATATATCAGAAATTTAAGAAGTTGTTAAGGCCAAGAAAGGACTTTCATTTAGCAATAAATTGGGCCTAATCCAAATATTCTGCAGACAAAGTCAGATCACTCATACTTTAACCTCCATCTTGGCTCATATGCTAGGAGGAATGAAGAGAAAATTCATAAGGCCTACTAAGACATTTGCTGCACAAATATTTTAGGGTTCATGTCAGAACCAGATGTCTGTCAGAAACCTGCAAAGTACTGCAAAAAGCCTGACTCTACTTCAGAACTACAGTCTGCCAAACAAAACCAGAGGACTAGAATATGCCTGATAATTAAATTTTACTTTTGCCAGTGGAAGCCTTAGCCATTTTGGAGTAGCTTCCGGTTTCTAAAATTCTACTGAGTTTTGAAGTACTCATTGTTCAGAGCTCAAAAGGCACATAATACAAAATTGTACAAAAGACAATTCCCACAAAAAGCCCCACCTGCTCTACTCTTGTGATGGCCACAACTGCTTCCATATTCCGCGTCTTCCGCTCTCGAATAAGTTCATAATAAACTTTACCAGTGCAGAAGAGAACTCGTTTAACCTGTTCTGGATTCTGGGCTGCCAGACTAGTGTCTGGGATGACACGCTGGAAATGGGTGCCTGGAAAGCAGTGGAGGTTATTACTTTTCGTTATACATCAGTGTGCATCGTAAAATCTGCTCCAAGGAGTTTATAAACCAAGAGGAAGGTGACAAATGTGAGGAAGATTACAAAGGACAGAATTAATGGCAGAGTATCTTTTCCATAAAGACCTGATCTGGTTGTCAGAAACCACACTATGCTTTGATGCCAGGCAGTTCAAAGCTTTTGTTAAATGCAAGCAGCAACAGAGCACTAATTCCTGCTCATGTCTTTCTTCGCAGGAAACTCCAAGTAAAAAAGCAAAGTGTTGCGCTGCCCCTCGGAGGAGCAAAATCACAAAATTTGTGACCTTAAACCAAGGTCTTAAGCTCTGAGTCAGAAGCAAATGAGAGCTCCAACTATTTTGCTACACATAAGCTCTTTCCCTGGGTATCGTTTAGTGAGGGTGATGATTTTTTTCTAGCACAGAACCAGAACTAGCATAGAACATCCAAAACTGACTCTGCTCCTAGGAAGGTTAGCAGATCTTTAGGAAGGCTAAAGGCAGAGTTGCCATTGTGGCCTGGTGTTGAACTTTCAGAGTTTCCTTGCCCAATGGTTCAGTCACATCTTCCCCCCTAACAAAGAAGAAATTCCTCCCTAGCCCTGAATCCAAGTCTACTGTACCTGCCAGCATTTCATCAAAGCTGGACCGAGCTTCAGGGTGACGCAACAAGGACTTTGGAGTGAAGACTATCAGCTAAAAAAAAAAAAAAAAAAGAAAGTGGGAGGGAGGGAGGGAGAGAGAGGGCCAGGGGAACACAACCCAAATTAATATTGAGGTGTAAGAACTGAAGTGTTCAGAATTTAAGTAAAGAACAATAATTCAAAGTTAGTTATTCAAAGGTTCTGTTTTTGAACGTCATCAGAACTGCACCCAGAGTTACTAGGAGAGCACTGACCAAAGAGAAATGCCAGGCATACAATCAGATGGTGCTATATACCAGGATCAAGTAATTTTTCATACTCATCAGCAAGATATTTAGCAGGAATGCAAAACAATAAAAGTGCTCTCTTCGGTAACAATATCTTTAGAGATCCTCTGAAATGTTTGATTTCAATCATTTCTTGAATAAGACTCAAATGGTGGTAAGAGTGAAATCCAAAATGCACACTTGCTGGGATGCTATAGAGCAGGGGTCCCCAACCCCCTATCTGTGGACCGGTACCGGGCTGCGGCATGCCAGCAACCGGTCCGCACAAACAAGGAAAGCCCCATCTACAGGATGCAGGTAGCACACAAAACCACATCTCCTCCGATCCGTGGAAAAACCTCTCTCCACATAACCGGTCCCTGGTGCCCAAAAGGTTGGGGACCTCTGCTATAGGGAACCTAAAGTATTTTGGATCTGTGGTTTAGCTTTTGGAATAGTAGTATATTTGGATTATCAAAGTAAAGATAATGCTCCGAAAAGTAAGGAAGCCTCAAGAAAGTAATGAATAGAAGGAATGCCAGCAGATTTCATGGATCCAGGTGAGTGAAGGAAGCTGGCTGAGATGGCTTTAAAATACAGTTATGGAGGATTCATCTGCCAGCAGCTGTGGTGGCTATGCAGGCTTCCCATCTTCAGAAGCTGTAAACCTGGATGCCAAAGGGGGGGGGGGTAGCTATGAGGGAGGGCCATAGTCTTAACTCTGGGCTTCTTGGCTTTCCAAAAGCACTGAGTTAAAGGCTACTGGAATCAGGATGCTAGATTGGATCCATTCTGGCTGTTCCAATCTGCTAACACTGTATAGGTAGTCCTTGATTAACGACTATTCATTCAGTGATCTTTCAAAGTTATGACATTGGTCTCTTGGAAGCCTGTCCACATTTACAGTTACAAGGTGCATTTTGACTCCACCCACCTGCCTATCCCTCCTCCCCATCTGCTCTTTTGACTGTCCTGTGCTTTGCCACCCTCGCTGCCCTGCACCCCCACGGCCCTTGCTGCCCACAGCTGATCTTGCATCTTTTTCCTCAACGAGGTGCACCCAGTTTGGCCCTTCCTGAAGCAGCTGTAGGCAGCTGCTGACATGCCTCAGCAGCAGCAGAAGGAAGAAAATGGTGAAAGTCAGCTGGGGCAAGGGAAATGCCAGTCAGGCTGGCAGGAGCAGCAGAGGGAACAGGAGCAGCAGAGGAAACAGGGGCAGCAGGGGCAGTGGAACACAGGAAGGAGGGACAGTGGGGCAGGGGCAGAGGTGACAAGAGGGCAGGATGGGAGATGGGCAGATGAGTGGGAAGAGTTGAAGTGGAATGAGAACGGCAGGGCAGGAGAAGTATGAGATCCTGACCTAACAACTGCAACTGGAACCATTAAAATTACCATCTCCAAGCAATGCAGTCTTGATGTTTCACCTAATGATCACATC